TTTTAAAATGCTGAAAAGGAGTGAAACATCACACAGACACATCCAAGGCGTTAGCCTAGGATGGAAGTCACAGGATTTTGACACATTCGGTGTGAGAACACCTAATAGATGCAAATTTCTTCCCATTTATTTAGAAAATTACCCAATGGCAACAGGAGCAAGGTTAAAAATATCCCTTAAACTGAAATTTGCCTTGTGAAACCCTGAGATGCTGCTTTTCCTGCAGATTTGCAGCTCATCCCACCACTGCTGGGCTGCATCTGACACCAAACCTCTCCAGGACACTGACCAATGTACCAAACACCACCCAGTTATAAGCAGTTTGTGTTTAAGACACAGTATCTTACAAGTATTTCTGTATTTTCTACAGAAAAAGCATGTGACTTGACATAACTCTAGGGCATAAATTACTCCAGATTTTTTGATAGAAGGTCATTGCTTTATTGCATCCCAGGAGATCAGAGAAATGTGTTAAATCTTTTTATGCTGCAAACATCTGACCTTCCTGAACCGAGTATCTGACATGCTTACACAGGAAAGAGCAGACCAGGCCAGCAGCTGAGCAAGAGTGCCTCAAGAACTATATATTCAGCCTTGGTTTAACAAGCAGCAGTTACTACCAGTTGCCTCAAATGCAGCATAATGGGATACTGTGTTGAAAGATTTCTGTGAACTGTAGTGACTGTGCTCCTCGCTTGATTTTTAATGCTCACAGATCTTCTCCTGGAGGTCAAAAACCCTCCTGAAGACAGCCAATCTGGAAATTTAGTCATAAAAATCTGCTCTTTGCCACAGAACTTCCCAAATTTGAGCCAGCATCCTGACAGGTTTGTGAATGACTGTATCAGGTAGAGACTACACTCTGAAGCCCATCCTTCCAAATAATATTGCAGTGACCAAGAAGGATACAAGTCTGTTTGTGATGATTTCACAAGACACGTACACGTTTGCAGAAGTAATCTCAGGAACAGAGATTTGGATTTAGTTTTCTCCCATTTCCCTAAAACGCTGCTGAATACCTATTTCTTCATATCACATATTAGGAAGCACCAAAAAAAGATAAGTGATGCTTGAAGAGCTAAGCTGATTCACAGACGTTTCTTTAGTTGCCTGATGACGCCTGTGTCTATAAAGGCTGATTCCATATGTCAGCAGAATCAGACTTAACCCATAACCATAAAAGCCAATCCTTATTATTCCAAGTTTGTACCAAACCACCCAACCTAAAACTTGTCCTGGGATTGACTGCAAGGAGTACAAGAGAGCACAAGAGTCCAGTGATGTCTCAAGCACCATGGGAACATCGAGGGGTACAGTCTGTCCTCCGCTACCCTTCCCACTACTGCTACACTCTCAATTTTTACAGTTGATTCCAACAGATGTCACAGTAAATCTGCTCAAGACACAGGTTCTTCTGGAGGAGATGCAGCACAGTTCCCCAAGGCAAACAGCATAAGTACCTGAGTGAAACCAGTATCACTTCCAACCCAACACAGATGGGAATCTCTCCTGAGAAGCAAACAGGCAAGCATTTCCTATCACTGGGCTAATGGCAATACCACTTCACAAGTCCCAAACAGCAAATAAAGAAAAATCAAGGTTTTAAACCATTTGTACCATATAAAACAGCCATTATTTCTAATCGCCATGAACTGCTGTACAAGTTGCAGCTATTACAAAACCTAATTTTCCTTAAAGAAAAACACGTATCAGACTCATCACCAACATCCAACATACAGCACACGAGAGTTCCTCTGAGGAAAGTCAGACCTCCTGCAGCTTGCAAGAGTAAAGTTGCAGCCATACAGATCTGCTTTATTTACTACACCATTTCTCTGTGTAAGTCTCCAATCTGATGCAAGCAGAGACACAGCTTGTTCTGGATCAAGAGCTTGACACTGCTGGAACAAGGCACAGAAATCATCTGGCCTTTCTACATCTCTTTGAGAACTAATTCCTAATGAGGTTCAACTCAATTAGCTACAGACAGCACCAGTTAACTCCCAGAGGGACAGTCTTGGTCCAAGGGATCAGGACACAGACAGGCAGCTTCAGCCCATTCCTGCTTCTGGAGCAGATGCTGGCTGGTGTCTGAGCAAGACCTAGTGCTCTGTGTGCCTGATGATTCCCATGCACAGAGAGACACAGAGCAAATTATTACAGAAACAACCATTATTTCTCATCTTCATAAACTACTTTTCCTGTAAGCTTCAATCACTGTTACCCACTGTCTCTTCCTTGCGACTGAGCAAACTCAGTGTAATTAAGGGAGCAGAGGAATCCACCTGAAACAGCAGCAAGCAATTGGTGAGAGCTGGATTGTGAAGTGTCTAAATTATTTAAAATATTACTAGAAGATTAAAGATTTTGCCTCTCTCCTACCTCAGGAAAGCCATTCATTTCTCTGTAAAAGCATACATATACAAATCCAGTCACGTGAGTCTAATAAAAGAGATTAAGCTCCAAATTGTACTGCAGGAGATTGTTTCAGGCCAGAAGTAGTCACAGGAGCTTCCTCTCCTCATTCTCAAGTTCAAGCACCTTTTAAAAATGCTGACAACAGAACAGTATCCGTGTCCCACTATTAGACTCACTTGTTATACCTAGAGATATCACACACCTCCACTCTCCTACCTACTAGTCCTTGTTTATACAGACAAGGATCACAATAGCTTCAATGTCACATACAAAGCAGATGCTGCTGCCTGCTCACCCTTGTGAGAGCTGTTGCTATCCCACATGCAAGCTGGAGGGAACAGGCAGTTCAGTTGTTAATTGACAATGACAGCATCCCAAACCAAAGCTATTAAAACCCCACAGATTTCTCCTGGGTTAACTGCAAAGGGTGAGATGAAAAGGTGCAAGGAAGAAAGTGAGACTACACATCTGAAGCAGGGACAGTCTTCACAAGAGCCAGACCTCAAAACATGGGGGGGTTTCTCAATTAATCAGCATTTTAGAGGTGACTCTCTAGTAGAACTGCCCATCTGTGACACCAAATTTCTCCCCATTGCTCTGCACCACACCACTGCACCATCTGTCCTTGGGTCCACCAGGCAAACCATAATAGAAAAGAAACCAATAAGAAAACCTATTCCCCAAGTCCTCAATCACTGAACTGTTTGCCCAAGACAGCAGGTATCAGCCTGAAGCAGGCATTAATCAAATGTGTGACTTGCCCAAGCTGATAGCAGCAAAGTATTCCTGAGCATATTGCAATGAGAGCAACCTCAACTGCATCTTGCAGCACTGGCAGACGGACACCTGCAAACAAAGGGGATATACAGGGCACTACAAGGAGTGATTTGACAGACAAAACTGTTCCTTCACATTTTAAGGCCTTTTTGGCCGCTTGCTGTTATCTAAGCAATCACCAATAAGGGATTCTTTTTTTTTTTTTTTTAATAAATACGGAATAAAAGCATTGCACAAGGCAATTTGGACCCACATCACACCATGCTGCTTGGCTCGTGCCCACTGGGCAGAGGAGGCCCTACAAACCTGCCCCATAACCCACAGCACCGAGGGGTCACCAGGGCCTCAAGGCATCCTTAGGGGACTTCAAAATCCTGCCGCAACCCCCCATGGAGACAGGGAGCACCTCAGCCTCATGGAGGCCCCTCATGGAACCCCACAGCACCAAGGGGTCACCCCACCCTCTACACAACATCCTTAGAGGATCCTGCCACATAACCCACAGAGAGAAGGGCGACCACAGCCTCACAGCACCCTTCAGGCACCCTAAAATCCTGCCCTGCTCCCCACAGGGCCTGAGGGACACAGCAGCCTTAGGGAACCCTAAATCCTGGCAGCAAAAGCTCACTGGGGCTTCACAGCACTCTTAGGGGACCCCACAATCCAGCCCCACACCCCATACAGAAAGAGGTCACCCCAGCCTCACGATGCTCCTGAGGGAGCCCTAGAAGCTCACCCCACTGCACTGAGGGGGTGCAACAGCCTCACAGCACCCCTGGGATACCCTAAAATCCTGCCCTGCATCCCCCAGAGCCACTGTAACCTCACAGAACCCTAACTCCTGACTCACATCCGCAGGACAGCGCTCACCCTGGCCTCACAGCGCTCCTGAGGGAACCCCACAGCCCTGTCCCGGCTGCCACATCACCAAGAAGCCACCTCAAACCCCGCAGCACCCCTGATGGACCCTAGAGAGACCCGGCCCCACAGCACCCTCAGGGCTCCCCCACATCACTGGGGGGGGGGTCACCACATCCTCACAACACCCTCAGGGGACCCCACACCACTGGAGGAATCAACACAGCGTCACAGCACTCTCAGAGGACCCCACACACCCCCCAGGGCTGAACGACCACCCCGGCAGGGGGCAGCCAGAAGCCACCGAACCACCCCGGTGCCCAGGGGGCAGCAGAAACAGAGAAGGGAGAATAGCAGAGGGGCCAGGCAGGGCGGGACGAGAAGGATCCGTCCCCGTTCTCCCCCCCCCACTTACCCGCCCCGCCATCTTGCCGCTGCGCCCGGCCCGCAGCGCCGCCTGACAGCCCCGCCGCAGCGACGGTCCCGCCCCGCGGCCACCAGGGGGCGGTGCAGCGCAGGCGCAGAGACGCGGCTGGGCGGGTCCCTGAGGGCCACAGGCTCTATACAGCCCTCTCATTGGTCTAGCTGCCGAACGTCAGCTAGTAGCGGTGCTAGGATTGGTCGGTTGGGCCGTGCGCGGGGTGGGGTGGGAGGAGTCGAGGTTTTCCTCACGGCGGGCGGGTGGCGAGGGACTGCGGCGCCTCTGGGTATGGGCCCGGCTGCCGGAGAGTCGGCGTCGGGCAAGGCTGGGGGTACCGGGTGTTACCCCCGGCCTGGGAGCGGGACGGGCCCGGCATTAGCCGGGAGGGAAGGTGCGGTCTGAGCCCTGCGCTGTGAGGGTTGAGTGGGATCAGGCTTCCAGGCAGACCACGGCCAGCAGAAGGGCTGGCAGTGGCAGGGGTCGGTCAGGGCTTGGAGTGCCCTCATATCTCTGGGCCCTTCCTTGCGTGGAGTCCTGAACAGTGCTGCTTGAGCAGGCTTGAAGTGCTTTGTGGAGAAAAGGCTCCAGAAGGAAGTGTATCAGTAGAGCAGCTATGTCAGATATGGTGCTGTGGCCTCCTCCAGTAGTATGTCCAATGGCTTGCCTTGTTTTCTGCTTGTTTCCATTCAACAGCATCTGTGGTTTGTACCAATGGCATGGGTTTGTGCTTTGTGCTACAAATTACAGGTAATGAGACCTTGCACCTCCCACTGTCTGTCAGCACATTTCAGAGGCTGGAGTTAACCTAATACTTTGGTAAAAAGGCTTGGGGCTTATAAAGCCTGTTGCTGAGCCTTCACTGGTGATGTGGGTGTCTTCTGCTCATCACAGCTCTCACTTTTATATGGAGCTGGTAAAGCCTGGTCCAGTTTGAGCACTTACAGCAGCCAGGCTGAGAATATAGATCTTTATGGGGGCCCACTCCTGTTGTTTGGTTGCAACACTGCTTCACTCTTAAGAGCACTGGATCATATTGGATAAGCTGCCTGATGCTCAGAGTTTTCAGAGCCGTGTTCCCCTGTGTAATGTTCTGCGGGAAAATGAAATTCCAATTACGGTCTTTAGTCCTGACTGAGGGAAGAAGGCAGCAAAGAGTTGGGCTCCAAAGCAGGGGTCGATACTGGCTCCAAAGCTGACCTCAACAGCCTGGAAATCAATTGAGAGAGCAAGCTTTAATGCATTAGCAACCTGTCACATCGGCTTCCTGCGCAGGGCTTTGGCAACATAATAAAATATTAATACTGACTTTAATTGCTGGTTTGCTGCCTTGAGCAGGTAGCAATGTCAGCTAGAACCCAGGGGAGCGCCAAGTGCATGGAAAACTAGGGGAGGCATTTTAACACAGAGGCAAGAGTAGTGGATTGCTCAGTGCATGAGTACAGGACCTGGTAGATAAAGAAGTGTGGTTGATAGCTGCATGGGCAGATGTGAAAGATGCACAAATTCGGTTTCACACAGTGAGACTGTGTTCTTCCTGCTTGCTCAGCAGCTGAGCAGTTTCTCCATCTGCATCCCTTCCTGGACAGACATCACTGCAAGGGGAAAACACCTCAAAAAGCTATTGTTAAATATCCAAATAACCCCTCAGCTTTGGGCAGGAAACAGCCAGGTGGTTCTTGCTCGGGGGGATTTGCTTCCCAACCTCTGTTACATGTGAAATTGGCTGTGAGAGCCACAGGTGAAAACCTGCATCTGCTGAAACAGTGTTTTCATCATGGAATCCCAGACTGATTTGTGTTGCAAGGGACCTTAAAGCTCATCCAGTTCCAGCCCGTGCCACAGGCAGGGACCCCTTCCACTGGAGCAGCTTGCTCCAAGCCCCTGTGTCCAACCTGGCCTTGAGCACTGCCAGGGGTGGGGCAGCCACAGCTTCTCTGGGCACCCTGTGCCAGTGCCTCAGCACCCTTACAGGGAAGAGCTTCTGCGTAAGAGCTCATTTCAGTTTCCCCTCTGGCAGGTTAAAGCCATTCCCTCTTCTTGTGTCCCTACAGGCCCTTGTCCAAAACCCCTTTCCAGTCCCTTTCCTCTTAGGCACTGGAAGCTGCTTTAAGATCCAGAACTTCTCCAGAAGATAAGAACTTCTCTTCTATTTCCAGGCTGTAGAGGTTTTCCTCTGAGCAGGTAAAGGTGTTGGGCATGAAGGAGCCATCTGCCACTGCACCCCCACCAGTAGGCTCAGGCTGACACCATGTTGGAGACTCACTGTTCTGAGCTTCCCAGATCCCTCTGCCCTGTGGCCTTGAAAGTCTCCTGCAGAAACAAATGTAGGAAATGGGACTTCTGAATTTGCAATGAGGTGGTTGAGGGGATGGCTGGGGGGAAGGGGGAATGGTCACACTCCCCCACATTTTACCTATTCAAAGAGGTGGAAAAAACAAAGTTCACTCAAACCAGTTGCAAGGGTGCCCTGGTTCCTCTTGGGGTCTGGAACCAAGGGGGAGCCCAGCCCATCCCACTCAGACCTGAACTTCAGCCACTTGTTCTCCTGGTGACTGGGCTGCATCTCAAACAGCTTTGGGCACAAAGCTCAAACCTACAGCCAGTCCCAGAGCTCAGCCCTGCATCCAGTCCTTCACTGGGACTAGGAATGAGGGGTGAGAGTGGGGAAGGCCTTCACTACTGAACCCAGCTGTGGTCTGGAGTGAAACCTCCAGCTCCCAGCAGACACAACATTGCCTGCAAGCCTGCCCCACACCGCAGGTGGGTTTGGGAAGGCAGGTTGGGCAGGACCCATGCCTTCACTGTCCACTAACCTCCCTGTGAACCCACTGGATGGGAGCTGCTGAAAGGAGCAGGGAGGCTGGAGGATAACTGGGAAATGGATCAATTCCTAACAAACTGTATGAAGTTCCCCCTGTACTGCCTGAATCCACCCAAACAGAGGTGGCAGCCAAAATTATGTCTGTAAATTCCATAAACAGCTTGGGAAGCATCAAGCAAAATATCTCAAGAAGTGAAAACAGTGGTTGGGTTTCAGGGCTTCTGGGTTTTCCTTACTCCTTTTTCAGCGAAAACAGCGGTATTCATACAACGAGTGTCCAAACCAGCAGCAAAGGTGAAAGCACAAAGCAGGGCCGGCAGGGTTGCCCTCCTCCCTCTGCCGTCCGCTTCCCTGCGGCTCCCCCTTCAGCCCGGCCGCCCTAAGCTCCGGGGCTCCCCCCACTGCTGACCCCCGCACGGGCTCAGCCCACCGCGATCAGAACCGCAGGGCGGGGGGCAGCGGGACCCCGGGCAGGCTCGGGACAGGCGCTAAGGGCAGCCCTGCCAGATGGGCCCGGGGCTCCTTGGCTCGGTCCCGATGCAGCAGCCGGGCCGGTGCCAGCGCCAGCGCCGGGGGGTCCCGGGGGTCCCAAGGGGGAGGGCTCGGGCGAGGTTTGGGGTAGGGGGGAGGCACTGTCTCCGGGTGACCCAGGCCCCCGCGGCCCCCCATTGGCAGGAGGGACGGGCGAGTTGATTTGTTATTGGCCAGGGGTTATCGGAGAAGGGCCAATAGGAATAAAGCTCTGTTGCCGTGCGAGCGACTCCGAGCTCTCGGTGTGTGGCAACCGCGTGAAGAACACAGAGGGTCATGCGGCGCGGGGAGGCGTGACGGAGAGAAGCGGCTCGTGATTGGTTAAGCCGCTCAGAGGTTAGCCAATCCCCTTGGAGAGCGCGGGGCGGGGTGACGGTTGGCTGGGCGCGAGGCTAACGGCCGCCCGTCGCCTCAGGCGGCCCGCCATGGCCGCGGGCTGGTGATAGCCGGTGCAGCCGCTGTTCCGGGGGGTCGCCCATGGAGGTGAGGGGCGAGACAGGGCCGCGGGCCGGGGAGAGGCTGGGCTGTGCGGCTCTTCCTGTCAGAAACACAGCGGGCACGGTTAGAGCTGGGCTGGGGTGCGGGTGACCCACCGGGGCTGAGGGAGGCTTCCCTCACTGCTCCGCCGCCGCGACCGGGCTCGGTGCCGCGGTGCCCTCCTCTGTGGGGCGGCCCGGGCCTGCCTGTGGTGAGAGGTGCTATGAAATACCTCGGAAGTGCCGGGAATGCAATTCCCAGTGGCCTGAAAGACTTCCGTGTGGGGAAAAGGAGTGTGAAGGGTTGGGGGGGGTTGGGGGTGTCACGAATCCAGACCAGCTCACTGTGCTGTGTGTTCCCTCATACCCTGAGATCACAAATCATGTAGGTGGCAGGTGTCCTTACTGAACAAGGAGAAAATGTGGCACAATGAGCGTAGTTCTGACTTTGTGTGTTCACATATGTGTAAAACGTGGCCAAAAACAACTCTATGAGTGCATCTGAGTGACTGCAGCTTAGATGAGAAGAAAGATGAGTGCTGTAGAGCTACATTAGGTGTAAAGTGTGTTTTCCTCCTCAGCTGTGAAAGAGCATCTTAGGGCCAAGTGCTTATTAAGAATACTTTCAGAACACTAGTCCTTATGAAACTTGAACCTTTTCTGGCTTTATTAAGCATTTTCAATGGGCTGCTGTGGTAATGTTTAAAGTATTATACAAATAACTTCACTTTTTAATTTGGGAGCTAAAGGATTTTTTGGCAAGTCAATTTTATTTTAGCTTTAAATTTTCTTCATGCACCTCACCTTGTGCAGAAGGGAAGAAAAGGCACCTGGCTTCTGTTCTGTTCCTTGCTCCCACTGGTGACAGGGAGAGGGGTGGTTCTAAAGTGGAAGTTGGTTCTCCCATAGTTGCAGAACAGGGCAGATTTCCACTGTAGCTCCTGGTATGTGTGGTACAGCAAAACTCTAGTTCCTGAAGTCTGAAAACGCACATCCAGGATGGAATCGGCACAGCGATGAGAGGACAAGAGGTGTCTGGCGATGCACAGACTGGCTCCTCTGCTGTTGCTGATGAAAGGATGGTAATTTGCTCTTCTGAGGGGGCTCAGGAGCCTCCCGGCACCTGAACAGTGTGAACAGCTCAGGTGTAACCGGAGGGCTGGTTTCCTTCTAACCTGCACCTTCTGCCTCCAAACCCCAGGTGAATTTCTGTGGTTTGCTGGGGTATTTTAAGGGTAAATATGAAAATGTGCCAGTGTCAATATGTAGAATAATTCCTGGAGAACTCAGGTGGAGCAGAATCCACAGGTAAAGTAAAATGTTAAAGAAGCTCCTGTTGGTATTCATACCAGATTTCAATCTGCAGCTCTCAGCTCTGTGCATAATTATGTCCTTCTACCACTTCTTTTTCTTGTTTTCTATAGCCTAAAGTTGCGTTCCGAGGCAGCAGTCGCTGCTGGAGTAGTGCCGAAGCTGGCGGGAGGCTGACTGATGTGCTCAGTAGTGTAATGACAGGCTCTGCCTCGCTGTATGGTTGCTACAAATCACAGGTTCCGTTGCTTATAAATGAATCCTTTTATGTCTGTGTAAGAATTTGTGTTGCTTGTAAACAAAACTGTCCAAAACCCATTTCTAATGCAGTTGTTCCACAAAGTACTATATTTTATATCTTTAGCATTTAACCCTGTAGAAACACCAGGTTTTTTTTTTCACTTAAGAGCTGAGAAAGGCATGTTATATTTAAACCAAACAAGCTCCTTTTCACTGAAAACTGGGCAGAAAATCTTTCCTCTAGAAAAGTTATTGGCTATAGGTTTCCTGTAATGACTGGGAGGAGGGGGAAGTCTCCTGATTCCTGTCAGTGGTCATCTGCTAGAAACTGCTGCAGGCTTTTCAGGCAGGGAATTCTCACTCCTGTGTGTATATGTGTTGGGCAACAAGCACCAGGAGTTACTTGCAGCCTTGTGTCACAGTATGTGGCTTGCTTGCTCCTCGTGCTGTGGTTACTCTGAGAGTGAACTCCGCATAGAATGATGAAATGATAATTTGATGTGTTTAATATTAAAATCTATATGTTTATTGTATATAAAATGCAGAATGAAGAAAATGTAGAGATACCTCAGACGTACAGTTCTTCCCTTTCAACGTCAGAGTACTCCGCGCCTGTGGACTCTTCCCTTTTATACGTACCATGGTCTACATGTGGAGATGATACTAAGCAGCCTGCTGCTGCTCAGAGTAATGTGAAGTCCAGGTAGTCATCTTTGACAGAGTGAGAATGTGTGTGTTGATGGAGTAGCTGGATTGTTTGGGGGGTTTTTTTGTTTGCTTTAACTTAGAAATATTTTCAATGAAGTCATGGTTTTAATGCGATTTGTTTTCAGGATTCAGCCTGAAAGGAATGATTATGGCAGTGAAGCAGATTTATATGGCCTTGTGTCTAACATCTTGGATGAGCAAGAGAAATCGCAGCCATATTGTGCTGAGGGGTGAGTGTGTTGCCACGCAAGCACTGTTGGCATTCTTCTCCCTAAAAGCTACCCTCACTGATCTCAGTCTGTGCTCTCTTAGTCATCTTTGCATCTGCTGTTGGCAAGTGCTCATGCTCATCAAGGTTTCCTTTCTTTGCTCCTAATCTTCCAATATTTCTCTTGAGATACTTGAAAGCTTTTCTCTAGGTACGCAAATTACATGGTAACTTCTGGCCTTCTGGTATTTACAGAACTTTTAATTGACATTTTTTAAGTAAGTCCTTCATAAGCATCATGGAAATGCTGTATTCAAATAAATCTGAAATATATGCCTTGGCCTATTTATTTTAATATTTTTTTAGATCAAGATTGAATTCAGATTTTAGGTTTCTTTTTTCATTCATTTCAATTCAGAGAAGGAATATACAAAACACAAAATCGTACTCTTTGATGCTTCCCTGAACTGGCTGGAGAGAAGAATTCCATGCATGCAAAATGAATGTTTCTTGGTGTTAGTGCTACCTAAGCAATATTTACATATCTAAATGTCAGTTTTATTATGCCTGCATTCTAACACCAGAAGAAACTATTAGATAGTCACAATTACTTGTCACAGAATAATTCAGCTGCAGCATCCCCAAGATACTTGGAGGGTTCACACTCTTGCTTGAATCTGAGTGTTCTGGGTGTAAGAGGTAACAAAGGGAACCCAGTTCTTAAGCCAGACACCACTCTTCCTTTCTGTCCTCCCAAGCAATTCAAATGGCTTCTGTACACGTGTTGAGTTCTGTAACTGGAGTGAGGGAAAACAGAGTCAGTCTTGCTCGAGTGCTTTACAAATCCCTTTGCTTCAGACAGTTAAGGTTGGATTTGTATTTCCAGTACTGCCAGGGTTGGCATTGACTGCAATGACTTCCAGGCACAATTGCATTTTTTCCTTAAGCTGTTTACAGTTTTCCTGGACAGTGACTGATTGTCCTGTGTTAATGATGGTAATTAGAGGAAGGAAAGGAAATGTGCTTATCCTTGATGTACCTGCAGGAAGCAGTGTAAGGCAGTGTAAGCCACAGGCAAGTCTGGAGCAATAAGATGATACAGAGAAGCATTTTATCTGGGCTGCTAGGACACAGCTTTGAGAGGTTGCGGGTAGTTTGGGAAGTAGAATTATCTTGTTGCTTAACCAGGATTATTTTGGTGGTGACAGATAATAAATCTCTTGACAGGATTTGCTGTAATTTAGTGTGTACACATCACTTGCAGCTCAAAGGCATCATACATAGCTCCTAAGTTATATGGATGGGTTTAGACAAGGCAGAATCCTTTTTCTCTTCTAGTTAAGAGTAACTCTGAACATGATAGTAGTGGATAGAAGCTGGAGTAAGATGTCTTTGAATCAATTGAGAGAAAGTATTTAGGGGAGAATTGGGTTCTTAAGTCTTTTCCTGCAGTTGGAAATGGGAGAGGAGCACCACAGATAAGATTTAACAATGTGTTTCTTGTTTTCCAAGGAGTTGCCCTTCCAACTTGAAGTCAGTATGGCCCATGAACGTAACCAGAATCGTGGACCACCATGACTTTGTGCCAGAAACTAAAAGACCAGTTGTTGGAGCTGCTTCACAGCAGCGTTTTTATAGTAGTGAATCTGTATCTGCTGCTGAAAAACAATACTTGCAGAGTGGTACCCTTGCATCACAGCAGAAAGCAGATGAATGTTACCATGGATTTCCTGGCCTGGACCCTGAGGAGCAGAGTCTGTACCCTCCAAGGAGCGATCATGCCAACTGTTGCAACATGCAGACTAATGAGAACGTGAAGACAACACCCTTGTATCAGAACTATCCATACATAAAAAACACCTTTATAACCCCAGCTGGGTATTCAGAAGTAATCAAAGACTCAGGAGCTGATGCTTATCCTTACGGAAGGGAGAAGGCATGTCCCAAAGGAGCAGATGCCATGTTGCACCAAAAGCGGGTGGAAACATTTCTTCCACAGCTTCACAGATATAATGAAAACACAGATTATATTATGTACCCTGAATATTCTCACGCTAGTAAAGCAAAGCCTAACAAGAGTGCCAATTGTAGCTTCCAAGAAAATAAAAAGTTAGTAAATGGAACCACTGAGGCACCACCTCTGGACACAGAACCCTATACTAAGTTATTTCAAGTTAAATCAGGAACTCAGAAAAAAATAGAGGATACCATTTTAGATCAGCAAAACCTTACATTTCCCAAGGCTGTAGGACTTCTCCCAGAAAAACAATTTGCAAATGAAGCTTCATTCTGCACTGATTTGGGACAAAAATTTGAATATGGACTAAAATCTTTCACAGCTTGTCCAGGGAATAGTGATTATGCGAATGGTGTGGAAAAGCAGCAGTTTTCCAAGTCTGATCTTCAGAATTCTGAATACTGTAGATCCTTTCCATTGTTACCACACGCAGCAAACCCTTCAGCAGGCACCACTGTAAGGCCACCTTGGATGAATATTCCAACAAAAACAACTGCTTCTGCCCCATTTCAGAATCCTTTGCTGAGACTGAATAATCATTTACCTGCTTTTCCAAAAAGTTCCAGTTATTCTAATGATTTTTTACAGTTGCCATCTTCAAATTTCCCTTTAAATAGCAATTTAGTTCACAAGTACTTTCAAGATAACCCTTCAGTTTTTTCAAGTCTTGATTTTGGTTATAACGCTGCAGAACGAGCTCGGTCTGGTGCTTGCATTGAGGCACTGATTAGGAGTGGAGAAGAGAATCTCGCCGAGTATTTAAGTGAAAAGAGATTCAAGCAGCCAAATGGATTCTGTGACAATTATGCACCTCAGCAGTTTGGGATCATTGAAAACATGAACAAACACCGTTTCCAGTTGAAGCCACCAAGTGAGTGTTACGATCTGGAAGGACAGAAACGTGCAGATGGGCTGTTGCAGAATGTGTACCAGGATTTCATGGAGCCGCAGGCACAGTTTCATCTCAGGCAGGGGAGTGGAGACAGTAAGGCCATAAATCCCCTGATGTGCCTGCAGGCTCCAGGCTTTCCCAGCAATTGCATGATGGGTGACTTCAGAAGGAATCAGCAGCTGGGCTCAGGTGCCTTCCCCTTGAGATCAGGTCGCCTCTTTGGCCATTCCATTGTCCCTCTGATGGAATCTCCTGACCTGTTCTCCCGTGATGATTTAAAACGTTTCTACCCTTACTTTAACGATAAGGTGTATGGTGAGAGTCCTTTCTCTGGGTTTGTGCCAGCATTTGGATTTCAGAAGCAATTTAAAAGCCGTAGTGGGTCTGCCAGCGAGCTTTATGTTAGACTGGAAGAATGTTACGAGCAGTGGAGAGCTTTGGAGAAAGAAAGAAAGAAGGTAAGAAATAAGAATTAATATGCCATATCACATGTTTGATGTTGATCTCATCCAGCTCAGTCCAGTTAGAGATCACAGGTAATTCTCACTCGTATGAGTTGAAATGTTTAACGGGACTTCAGAGTTTAAAGGCTTTGTTTCCCTGTCTATTTGGGACTGAAAAGTTTTGAAGGTCTGTAGCCTGTTTGGGAGCATAACTAATGTTGTATTGAATGTTGCACTTAAAGCAGGAATTCAGGGACTTCTTCAGTCTCAGAGTTGGGGTGTGTATGACTAACAAAGCCATGTTTGCAACACAGTAAGTACAGTGCATCTGGAAACTTTGAAAGCAAATCCAGGAGTTATATTTTGAATTGGAATAAACTTTAATCCTTTCAAGAATTAATTGATTAAATTTCTTAGACCCTCACCTTTTAATTCTTTGTATGAGGAGTTCTCACCTCCTGTTTCCCTGAAGTTTTAAACCTAAGATACGTTTGAAGGGGCTCTTTTTCCCTCCCCCAGAAACTGAAGCTGAAGAAAGGGTAATACTAAAACACTAAAGTTTCATGTAGCTGCATATGAAGCCCTACTTAGAGCAATTGCCCTTCTTGGTCATCAGAGGAAGTGCTTCATATACCCTTGTTGTATGTAAAAGCTGACTTAATGTCCCCAGTTCGGCTCAGTTTGAATTTCGGTGCCAGCTGGAACTGTGAGGGAAGCGGGAGCAAAGGCACCTGCGAACAGTGGGCCAGGCATTTGGCTGAGGACTGCTTGGAGGACGCTCTCTTGTGCTGGTCCACTAAAAAAACCCATCATTGTGAGGGGCTGTAACACTGGAGGGGAGTTGCCAGAGTGTTTCCTGACAAAGGCTGGCTGTTAAATATAAGACTTAGGGAGAGTTTGACTTCAGGAGGAGAGCCTGGGGTCTAGGCTTGGGTGGAAAAGTGCAAAAGAGAAAGAGTTGCTGTATGTGTGGTAGGGGGATGTGGTGGGGATGATTAGGCAGCAGCTTTATGTGGACCACCACAAAACAGTCTTAAGAAATGCAGTTTTAAACTCCATTCAGCTAGCTGCGTTTTGTTCCAGGTATTCCAGAGCCACAGAGCAATGGGGTAAGAGAGGCTGGCATCTGAAATCTGGCAGTCAGGACTCAAAGTCATTTTCTGATGGCTAAATAAAATATGATTTCATTTTAAGAATTTAACAAGGAACACACTTTCTGTAGCTTGACTAATCTACCAAAATTAGGTTAATTACTGACTTAAACAATTTGCTTTTAATTTTGTGGGTGAGGTTCACATCTGTATGCTCCATCTTTTCTCGCCTTGTAATTCTGACTTGCCTCCATTTTGTTAAAGTACAGGCTGTACAGAGTGTGAGAAGACATAGCACTTCCGAAACACCTTCTTTGGGCATCATTACTTTAGTTGAACTGCTTTCAGTAAAGCAGTTGTTCACTTAAAACAGGTGATTGTCTTACCAAATGGTTAAATCCCAAATGCCTGAATCCTCCTTAGCTACCAAAAATGAACAGAAAATCCAACCCCTAAGGGAAGAAATTGTCTAGCTGATATTTTTTTCTTGGTTCTGTAAAAAAGCACAATTACAGCTTACATTCTTAGGGAGTTATTCTTTTGTTTTCCTGCAGACTGAATCAGCTCTTGCTAAGAATTTCCAAGGGAAAAAGATTTCCAGTGCTAACAACACTCCAGTTCCAAGGCTGACATCAAACCCATCAAGAGTTGATCGCTTAATTGTGGATCAGCTTCGTGAACGAGCCAGAGTGAGTTGTAGGATTCAAACTAAAAACATCTATTTAACTGATCAGACAGAACTTAAAGTACAGCTTAAGATAAGTGAGATGATCAGAGCCGCTTTTCCCAAAATAGCTTTCTTCTTAAATGCTGTGCAGGGAGTATTTCAGCAGTCCCAGCTAGAATTCCTGCAGCTCCAGGTTCACAGCTGCTGTTACCAGGGAACCTGCGGAGTGACTGCAGCTCACGTTTACAGCCCTACGTGCCAGGAGGTTGCAGCTTCTAGTACAGGAGCATGCATGAGATGCCACAATCCAGTTGGCTAACCAAACTGCTTGCACAGCTCTATGCTGTGCATTTTGAGCTCTTCTGTTTTGAGCAGCTCAGCAGAGAAATGGTCACCCTAGATTTGTAGGCACTGTGCTACACTAGGTATTTGTGATGGAAAAAGCAAGTTTAATTAATGTTTATAATACTTTGATATATATATTTGCTTGAGAGTCTTGTATTTTTTTTTTTATGCTGAATGGTTATTTGATGCAACTTCAGCCTGAATTTCTACATTACTAGTTTGCTGCTCAAGCCAAACAGCTATAACCTGTAGGGCAAACATGACCAATGTATTTGGAGCTGTCTGCGGCTCTGTGGCCAAACGACAGTGCCAGTGCGCAGCATCATGCTGCTTTGTGAGGCAGCAGCCTGCACAGAACCCTGCAAGGGAGGCTGAAGGGAGGAAGCAAGCAGGAGCTGAGCTGCCAGCAAAACAGCAAGGGTCTGATCTGCCTCTTCTGAGGCTGAGAAGCCAGAGCCAGAATGCTTATGCTGCAGGAGGAGGAGACACATGGGCTGAAAGCGCAGTCCTGGAGCCTGCCCCTGTGAGGGGATGTAGGATTCAAGGCAGCAGCTGTTGTTCTGAGGAATGCTAGTTCTTGGAGGAGCCAGTACTGCTGAGCTTGGCTGCTCCTGAGCAACACTGGTAGGGGCCATGTTCCCTACCAATCTCACAGAGGTGAAATACACCAGGGAGCCCTGCCTGCTTGCTGCCTGCTGAAATCTCTTCTGTGCAATTGCCTGGCTCTGGTCGTACAGCTGAGTAGAGAGTACGGTGAAAGACTTACTGATAGGCTTAGTGTGCACTCTAAACTACTGCTTCATGAACCCCGGAAGAGCAGTGTTACGAAGTTTCCACTTTCAGAAGGCTTGCTTGTCCTTGTCCTGGTACTTTAAAACTGCATCTGAAAAGGACTTAATCATATATGGCCATTTGAGGAACCAAACTTCAGGGCATAGAACCTCAAACCGTTGTTAGGTAGCAAGTGAAAAGTAGTTTTAAGAATGTTCAAAAGCACAGAGAGGCAGTCAGACATGGATTCTAACAGCAAAACACTTAGTGACAGTCAAAGACAAACTGCTGCAGAGGTTCAAGTGGAAGTTGAGCTGCCTGAATCTTTGTAGTGTGGAGCATCTAATTAAACCCTCTTGATGGCCATGCACTTACTTTGGTTTTCTCATTTGAGGCTTCCACTTGCCGTTGCTTTCACTTCCAAAGCAAATCCTAGCTGATGGAGAGGTGACAGTAGCTTCCTTCACTGTGTCATCAGTAGCTATTACAACCACTTAATAGTCAAAGAACAAGCTTTAAGCCAGGATCTCCTCTCTATAGATTGTATCTCATCTCTCTCGTGTCTGAGGAGATGTAAATCCAAGCTCCATTGTAATTGGAGAATGTCCCACACTGATGGATGCGGAGTCTGGACATTCAGCTTGTTGTGTCAAAGCTCTTATGCTCAACTAGCAAATGAGTTTTACCAGAGAGAGGAAATCAGAGCTTATTTCTAGTAGTCAGAGTATCTATGGGCTGGGGAGCACATTATATAGTTCCGGCTTCAAATACAGTTTTGTGAAAACAGTCATCAGAGTTGGGCCTGAAATGTCGGTCCTTACCCCATGGTGCATGCTCACTTCCAGATTGCAGGGACTGTGGCTGGGAACCTCCAGCAGTCAGCCTCAGAATCACTGGTAGCTTTATGCTTTTCCCAGTGAAGGGCCTAAATTGTCAAGCCCCAAGGCAGCCAAAAGGGATGGATCGGTTGTGCTTTTTAAGAGGAGGGCAGGTTCAGTTAATTCCTTTTGAGTTGTGAGTGGAAGGAAGGGTCTCTTTGGAGTGCAGGATAAACTTCTGGAAAACCTGAGAGGATGGGAAAGCAAGCGTTTGAGCTTTGCTGACTGCTGTAGATTTTGCTTTTAACTGCCTGGCACTTCTCCCAGGCTTAGTATAAAGAATGTAGGCATCTAACTGTCAGTTGTGGATCCCACTGGATCAGGTTGAGGTTCCTGAAAGCCTGGTCTTCAGAACCTAAGTCCTTTTGTGGCTGTGGATGTGCTAGTAAGCAAGGCTGGAAAATTATGTCAGGTTCATCTTACTTTGCTTCACTTGCTTATGCAATCCTACTGTGCCAGTCCTTAAAATCTGGCTTTTTCTCCAGGAACAAATCTAGGGATTTTAAAAAATCTTACCTGCTTTAGCTTCCTATCCAAGTGACTGATTCCTCAGCTGTTTGTGTGAAGTTCCCTCTGCACTTTTTTAAACTCTGAGTTTCCTTACAGATGTGGAATGTCACTTTTTTATTGTATTGGTTGTTGTTCACAGTAACTTGTGCGTTTTATTCCTGCCTGTGTTTCCCCACCCCACTGGCTTTTGCCAGATCTCAGATTGATCAGGACAGGTCTGGCAGTGGGAGCTTGCTCCTGGAGCACTCTAAAGCACTTAGCAAGGAGTGGCTGCTCTGGTCTGCTGTTGTGGATGCTGTTACCAAAGTAGTTGTCTTGGCCAACAGCCTGCTCTGAGGATACTTGGGGCACATTGGGCAAATTGTCCTGCTTCAAACAGCTTTCTAGCCACCCTTTCTTAGGTTTCTAAGCCTCCATGCCAGTTATTTTTCTAGAGAAGCCTACTGTTGTTCTCCTGCAAGGAAACATCAAAAACTTTGCTTTGCACCGCGCTTCTTTTTTTAACCTGTGGCTGACCATTGCCCAAGGAACATTACAATTTGGAATTTTTAGTTTTATCTCTCTCTGCAGACCAGCAACCAGGTTCCTCAGTGGCCTGTGAATCATCATTTAGGAATGGCTTATTAATGGGAAATACATAATAATGTTACTGTTTTAAGATAAACCAAGGCAGACTTTGAATTGATTAAACAAAACTGAAGTATTTCTGAATGCTGGTGCTCAATATTCTCTAAAAGAGCTCCTTCAGTATTGGATATCTATCCATTCTGAAAGTCAGCCAACACATGTGGTTCCACAGCAGCTGTAGCAAATCCAAACCAAGACTGGAACGGCACAAGGAGATCATCTGGGCAAACACTGGCTGCCCTTTGTGTGATTGGTTTTCACCCAGTTAACTGCAGCAGTACTGAGAGAAAGGAGGATCACAGTGGTCTTGAGTCAGAGGAGTGCACATTGTCAACAAACCACCTTCTGTCATGTGTTTGCCTCAAAGTTGTATATATCTATTATTAACTAGTAAGCTGCATGTGCTAATATTTGGCTATTTTAGCTTTGCTGTTGTGCTGTGCACACCCAGGTATTCTACAGCTTCAAGTCTGGAGAAGAAACTCTAGGTAAGAATTTAAAACCAGTTCAGCTGTAACTTTATGAACTGTTCTCAAAAGAAAATAATGGTTATTGTTAATCTGTTCTTTCTAATTCTAGCTAATTTTCTTTTAAGTCTAGATGAGTATAGTTTGAATTCCTGTAACATGTAAAAATGTTCATTAGGTTGTGACTTTACTGGGAAAAATGGAGCGCCTTTGCAGTTCTCCCCTTCATGCTAACATTTCCACTGCTCTTGATAAACATCTGGAGGTAATTCATGTAGTGCAGTCCCGTAGAAAAGATGAAATTGTAAATGCTTCCAATCGACAGAGGCAAGGAGCTCCCAGATGCCAGGATGACAAAGGTATAACTATGCTTACATACTTTTATAAGGTAGCTGAGAAGTTCTGCACATATTGCAAGTGTATAAAAAATTAAGTGTGAGGGTTATTTGATAAACTTGCGATTTATTTTTCAGTGTCTACAGCTTCATGGGGTTTAGATGATGGTTTTGAGAGGATGCTAAAACCGGGGTGTAGTGATAAGTGAGTTAAATCAATTTGGAGTGCATTTATTCAACTAATAAATCAGCAAGAGATGAGAATGTAGTGGGGTTTTCTTTGTAATGCAGTTTAGGATTGAGAATGGGCATAGAATCATAGAACCACAGAATGGTTTGGGTTGGGAAGGACCTAAAGCTCATCCAGTTCCAAACCCCTACCACAGCAGGGACACTTTCCAGTAGACTAGGTTGCTCAAAGCTATTATGATATTAAGCTACTGCCACTTTCTTCTCCCTGTCCCTCATGTACCTGTTTGTACCCCTCTCACCCTGTCATTATTTATGTGTAGAACTTCCTTGGTAGCTCCACCCTGAATCTGTGCAGTGAGACCAAGCTGGCCTTGCATTACAAATGCATTTCCTCTTCAAACATGTTCTGTCATAGACAGGCGTAAAATACAAATTGTACTTTCAATGGATACACAAAAATATACTCATCAGAATGTTTTTATACAATATAGCAGGGTTTTTTTTTACCTGTTCACCATCATTCTTAGTTCTCTTTACCTTGGTTGAGGATGATTTAATTTGTTTAGTAAACAGATTATTTTTCAGGATCTTTCAGGATGATGCAGATGTTTCATGTAATTTTCTGAGGGAAGAAAAGACCCTTTTAATGTCTCTAACTCTCTGGTGCTGTATTCAGCCAAAGACTTTAAAACAACTCTTCTTTATTACTGTGGGATTTTTCCTTCTTTCCTCGTAATGACCTGAATGGCAACCACATCTCACAGCTTTAACAGCCTCACATTTATGTGAGGGTCACCTGTTTCTTAGCTTTCTCTAGGCAGTCCAGATGACACCATTCCTGTGGTGAATTCCTCATTCCACAAAGCCTGGTGTGGAAATTGGAATTTTGAAAATACAGGACCTGATAATCACATCTTCCCACTCTGTATTCTGTCCTTTATTTGTCTGGAGTTACTCTTCCAAACACTACCTTCTGAAATGCTTTGAGTGACTGACACTTGTGTTGGAGAAGGGGCTTTTCATGGTGATTCTTCACAGCCACCTGAATCAGTTTTCTATACCACTCCTTCCAGCTGTTTTAGCAGTTCACTGTAGAGGAATGGGTGGTCACTGTGCAGATGAAAGGAGAGTGTCTCAGAATGGGTTTTGCAGAAGGCAGCCCAGGGAGTGAGAGCAGGATGAGCTACTGAAGAAGGGTGGTGTGGTAATAAGGGTAGGCCTCTGAATTCTGCCCTTTTCTGAGGAGAACCCCCAGGAGGGCCATGCTTTCACCTGGAATGGTGACTCCAAGAACATGGGTTGAAGGGAGGTGCCAGGTTTATGCAGTAAAATGAAACCAGTCGTGCTTGCTGAGCACAAGCAGACTTTGACTTCAAGTCTCCCACTGCTTCCAAATCCCATGGAAGTGTTTGACCATGGGGTCAAGGGCATGTGTGCTTTCTGTGCAGCACAACACCACCCAGTGCAACCCAGCTGATGGGGGTGAGTGTGCCCCTACCCATGCAAACTCTGGCTGAAACCTCCAGTGCCTAGAAGAGGGCATTGAATTTGTTTCTTCACAGAGCCTGCAATTAAAATCAGAGCATTATCTATGCATGAAGCCATTGCTGTTGAATAAATGGACCACTGCACCACCTTAACAATTGCTTTAAAGTGGTGGGGGTTGGCACACGTTTGCAAGACATGATCTGTAGGCTTTAGTAAAATGCTGTAAATGGGTTGTTCCTTCCCATGCCTAAATAATTTCTTGGGTAAGATGGGCAAAGGATCCACTGTGTGGGTGTGGAGGGGTTGCTGTGAAGGTTCACAATGCGCTCAGGCAGGAAGGGGTGGGCAGTGCCTTTAGTACACGTGTACATGGAACACTTTCAAAGGCAGAGCTGACCATGAGGCAACAAAGTAGACCTCCTTGTATGAGGGCACAAAAGTCAGTGCTTTCTCAGATTCAACTTTTACAACCTTACAAAGAGACAGACAAAACCAGACACTAAAAAAGGCCTGAAAGTTTTAATGTCTTAGCAGTGCCAGGGTGAATCAAACCCAAACAGTGCTTGCTGCTGACCTATGTGAGAAAGATTAAACTGCCATTTCCTCCTTGCAGATGTGTTTGCTCTGGCTTTGGCAATTAAAGAAATGAGCGTAACAACACGTAAAGCCCGTACGGCTCTGTGGTGTGCGCTCCACATGACCTTACCCAAACCTGCAGCTGGAAAACCAGACCTGGAGAAAGCGCTTTGGGAGCTGGAGCAGCCTGAGGAGAAAGCCTGTGAAAACCTGGATGGCAGCAGCATCGCGAGTCAGAGGGCTGACGTGAGCAACTGCTAAGGAACACTGCACCCAGAAATACAGGCCACAGGGTGTACGTGTGAGAGATGCTACACTCATTCTTTTTAATTATTTGTAAAGTTTTGAACTAATATTCCTATTTAAAGCTGTATCTTGACAAGAAGTTGAATTTGCATTAAGGGCTTTCAGGTTCTACTTCAAACTGTTCACATGGCAGCGTCAGAATATTGTAAAGCCAAACAGGTGAATGTTAACTTAAAAAGTAATCAGATTTCTTAATTGACAGCCAGGGCATTATTTAACTTCTGCAGGTGACCCCTGATGTACAACTCTTCTGATAACTTCTTTTAGTTTTGCTTTAGGAAATAGGTTTTAAAATAATGATTCTTAAAGACTGTAGTCTAAAGGGTGTCCGGTCAGTGTCAGATGAGATTGTGATGTAAAAATGGTTTCCTTATCGAACTAAAACCTGGAAACAGGAGGACAAAAATGTGAAGAATACCCCATATTCATGTAAAATTAAATATTTAAAATAGAAATATTTATGAATTTGAGATTTTAGATCTAAGTTGGTGAAAGGAGATGCACCAGGTTCTACTAAATTACTGGTATGACAAAATTGCTGTTGTGAAACCATGTAATTTAGTAAACGTGTTCAAAAGCATTTGGGCATGCTCTTGGGGAATAAACAAAAGAAACCTCTGTTTTAAAGTATTTAAACCTAATCAAAAGAGAGCATGCACACAGGATTATCCTTTTAAAAGCTGTGCAGCAGCTGAAAAATAATGAGCACTGTTTTTAATACCGTCACTTGAAAATTGGAAGAGGCATCACAACATTCTGAGATGTAGGTTTTCTTGAAGTTACTCTTTTCACTAGTTTGGCTTGAAATTTGGTTGTCATATTTTAAACTTCTTAACTGACCTCTGTGGTTTTGACAGCTCTGAGTACTTGTTTATCTGCATATCTTAACCCGTACAGAGCATAAGTAACGTATTTGCCACTACAAAATGCTGGTATTATGTGGCTGAGGAGATACATTACAAAATGCTGGTATTATGTGGCTGAGGAGGTTTTAACACTTGTAGCATCGCACTTATAATGTGTGGATTAGATTTGTTCAGCTGTCCTTGCCTAGATACCCTGCTATTTTACATGTCTCTGTTGTTCTTCTGGAAATCCTGATATGCAAAAAGGTGCGATTGCACCACATAAATTGTCACAGGATGATGGGAGAAAGAAACAAACTGGGGATGCAGCAGGAACCAGAGTCACTTTTGATCACCGAATGACCAAAAGCACTGCCAGAGCAAGCAGCTTATCGGGGCCAGAGAGCAAAGCCCACCTTCCTGCCACACATCACTGCATGAAGCTTGGTTTGGTTCACTGTAGGATATGTTGATGTTAAAAGCAGCACTGCACTGACTTCAGTCTATCTGATAAGAAATAAATTAGCTTTGGTTGAAGAGCATTTGTTCTGTGATTGTCTTCACAGCCTCAGCTCCTAGAACTTGAGCCATTAACAGGGACTGTAATTTTCAGTTAATTACTGAAGTGTGTCGGGAGGTATAAAGCAATAGTGATACTGAAATTATTCTAGGGTAGAGAGAAGTGACTGTAACACAGGACAAACCAGGGGGGAATTATATCAGTGCAGGGAAGCCAAAGTGGTGGATTTTCCCTGCAAGTATCTCACTAGTTACAAGCTCTGTATTGCCAGGGGAATCTGATGCAATGATTTCAGTGTCTGCACTAGAAATCCAAGGAGCCTGTCTGGGGCATTCCTGCTCTATACATTCCTTGGTATTGATGCCAGTACACACTCCTGAATGTCCCGAGCATCAGTCAAGCATCAGCCTTTAGCTCTCTTGAGGCACTGAGTCAGCAGTGAAAACCATGGGCTCTAGCAGCTCCATGGCAGAGCTGCTGCCTGTTCTGGGCTGCTGGGTGCAGCTGAGACCCTTCAGGCACAGCCAGTTCACGTGCTTTGGTGTTTGCACAAGACTGCAGCACACTCCTCAGTTTCCAGCAGCAGAAGCTTGCGGAGCTGTGTGGTGGGTACTGCTGCATGGTTGTAGTGCTCCTGCTCTGCCCAAGGCTGTGGGCTGGGCATTGTGGGGCTGGGCCTTCCCTTGTTGTTCTTTCCCTGTCCCTAGAAGGGCTTTTCTGACCAGTGGCATGCAGTCTCAGGGAGCCAGACACAACAAACCACTGCCAACCTGCACTTGTCTGTGGGTGCAGGGTGGAAGGGGAACCAGAGGGGATCTGCTTGTTTGCAAAAGCTGCCACAGTGCACTTGTGACTGCACCCTTCCTGGATCTGTACAGACCTTATCACTTGTACACTTTTGACACACACAACACAGCTGTTTGTTCTTGCTTGGCTCCTGAGCTCTGCAGTGGGTAGAGGGGGCAGTTCTTGTTATGAGGGGGTGAAGGCAGCTCTTTCTTCTGGACGTTTACAACCAGAGGGCTCCAGCAGCCTTGGGAGATGGTGTGACTCCAGGAGAAGCAGCACTGGGGCAGCCCTCAGAAACACTGCTGCTGGGTGAGGGACAGTGAGGACACAGGACAGGCCAGATGGGAGCCCCAAACCACACAACCACCAGCCACGACTTTCATTCTAACAGAGGAACCCAGTTTTTGGCCAACCAGTTTTATTATTCAAGTCCAAAGATAAAGCAGTTAGATACACTTGCAGCAGCGAGTTAAACAGGAGGCATGGCCATTGAGGCAGACTGGTGCTGAAAGCAGGCGATGGGGCCAGCGACTGCCAGGAGCACATGGCACCCAGAGAAGAAAGCGCTGGGCATGCCACTTCCCCCCGCACCCCGAGAACACTGCAGCTCTTTCACGCTCAGTTACAGCAGTTAGTGTTCTCCTCTCCAGAGGCGTGTGACACCAGCACAGAAAAGGCTGGAAACAGCAGGTACCAAGCCCTTTGAGGGCGAGAGCAGTGTTCAGCCCTGGCAGTAACTGTGCCTGGCAAAAGCCACCAGCCTGTAAACCCAGTGCATCCAACTCACAGCCACTCAGCACTGCGCCATGCTCAACCACTCACCCTGGCAACGGCCGGAGCAGTGGCAGGGAGCACCATTTTCCAGCTACTGGCATCAAGTCTTAAAGTAGCACAAGGAACTGACCAATTTGCTACCACTGCACCAAAGCCTTTACCTGACCAAAAACCTGTGAGTGATGCCATCCCATAGCCACAGCTCACCTGGATTTCACCTCATTCCCTTTCTTTCACTGCAGAACAGCACTTGCCCTCACCGAGGTAAGCTCCAACCCTGCTCTCAGCACAGGCACAGTGTGACCTAGTGCTGTTCTTGGCAGCAGAAATACATGTATTTGCAAATACATTTTTCAAGGCTACTGTAAATAAACTCACATTTGCCCTGTAGCAGCAGATCCTTGATTACATATCAGAAAGGGGCTCTGCTCTGTTCTCAAATCCTAACTGTTGCTGCAAACCAAGGCTGGCAGGAGGACACGGTTTGGAAGCCCTCTCCTATGTTGTGGTTTGCTTTGCTTGAAGTGGTAAGAAGACAAATCAATGTAAAACCACAGACATCATCACTTCACCGTTCTTTGGTACAGACACTGGCCACAAGAACTGACTGGGACACTGACACCACAAGCACATGGCACACTTCGAGTTTAGGAGGTGCTTGAAATTTCTAACTAAACCAAAGAAAAAAACTCCAAATGCTTCCAAAGAGCCACTCGCCAGCCACGTGTCCAGAATTTCTGCTGCTTTTTAAACACACACCATATTCATAAGTATTCTTATCCCCTTGAGAGTCCGACTGCGGAACCACAGCTACCGCTTTCGCTCGCCTTTCTGTGTCCTTTTCTTCTCCTTTTCCTTCCGCTCCTGCTTGGCCAGCTTGTCCTTCTCTCGCTGGACTTTATCTTGCTCTTTTTTCTTCTGGAACTCATCCCGCAGCAGCTCCCGTTCCAGCTTCCTGGCATTCACCACATCCTCCACGTTGGTGTTTCGGAACAGCGCTGGGGGTGTGTTAAGGGCAGACGAGGCTCTGGCTGAAGCAGCTTCCACTCTGCAGCCCTATTTTGGGGCTCTAAACTAGACAAAGCTTTAGCACATGAGGTGGTTTATTCTACCTCCCCCCTCACCTTCTGGCTCCCACTTCTGCTTCCTCACCAAGCAGGCAAGGAATTTCAGAATGAGGAACAGAGAAGGAAAAAAGGAATCTGCTTGTTTTTCAAAGAATCCCAGACTGGTTTGGGTTGGAAGGGACCTTAAAGCTCATCCAGCTCCAACCCCTGCCACAGGCAGGGTCACCCTCCACTAGAGCAGGTTGCTCCAAGCCCCATCCAACCTGTTCTTTTTCCAAATAGGAAAGTCATGCAGAGTCAATGCACACTGCCTAGGAAAGGATTTGTTCCTAGAAAAATCAAGTCACTATAGATTCTTAAGACCAGTATGTAGGTTTGTTTCTGCTGCACTTTTAATAATTCCCAATGTGATTTCCCTCTCTGGACACCAGCTAATGTTAAGCTTGTGTTCATAGGAGAATTATTCTTACTCATAAGCATGTTCTATGAAGCTTCAAGGATGGCAGAAGAGGGAAGGCAGGAACAGAGGAAAGAGACTGACAGGATCAGTCTCACTTGCAGAGGGCACATGTGAGACTCTAACTCTCATTATCACAGTATCACAGTATCACAGTATGTTAGAGATTGGAAGGGACCTCAAAAGCTCATCTAGTCCAATCCCCCTGCCGGAGCAGGAACACCTAGATAAGGTTACACAGGAACGTGTCCAGGCGGGTTTTGAATGTCTCCAAAGAAGGAGACTCCACAACCTCCCTGGGCAGCCTGTTCCAGTGTTCCGTCACCCTCACTGAGAAGAAGTTTCTTCTCAGGTTTAAGTGGAACCTCTTGTGCTCCAATTTGTACCCATTGCCCCTTGTCCTATCATTGTTTGCCACTGAGAAGAGCCTGGCTCCATCCTCGTGACACTCCCCCATTATGAGCAAGGTCAGGCTACATGAGAAGAAAAACAATCACCAGACTTAGAAGTTGCCCCTAAAGCAATGGGAAGCATCAACAGGGATAAGGAAAGATGGGAAACGGGAACTCACCATGCAAGCTGCCTTCCTTCCATAAAGCCTGGGTCACCCAGAATTCAAAGGATACATTTTTCTGACCCCATGTTTACTGCTGTTGCAGTCGATCCGTCCTGTTCATCCTCACCAGTGAGATGATTAAGGAAATATGGACATCAGTAATGACCTTGTGCCTCTGGACAGTCACACTTGACTCCAAACATGCTAAATAACCCTTCTGTCAAGCCACAAGGAAGCGGCTGAACACTCACAGACACAGACCCCACATGTTCAGCTCCCTCCAGCTGCTCAAGCACCAGGTACCATTCCTTCCCGTTTCCTATTCCACTTTGCTCTTTAAGGAAGAACTTGTTCTTCAGCATTACAAAGAGTGAACTTTAAAGTCTCCCACTTTATACCACTCTAAAAAGGATTTTTTCAGCAGATTTCTCATTACAAAGCAATAGATTAATTCAAGTCATTAACTATCATGTACAGAGTTACCAGGAGGCGATACCCCCTCTTCTGCAACATACCTGGACTGGAGGAACCTTACCCAGACAAGCATCCTCAAAGGAGCATCTACTCATGGCCCTCCACAAACAAGGAGCTTCCATGCTTTTCTCCATGGAAGTTATTTTATCATGGAGAAGGAAGATTGAAAAGTTTCCCCCATTTTCACAATAAAGACACTGTTTTCCTTTAGGAAATCTCCAATAACCATTATCCTTCAAAGCACCGAGTCTCAGCTGGGTCAGGAAAAGGATATTCCTCCTCATCTGTCACATTGGCATACTGGGCCAGGAGAGCTGCTTTCCTTTGCTTCTCCTCCTGGGAGACCTCTTTGGGCTTCACCACAATCTTGGCCTGCTTCTCCATCATGCTGGCGATGGCTTGGATCTCATCTGGCAAGGAGAGGAGTGAGAGCATCAGACACGGCAGGATGTGCCATGTGCACACACAGC